TGTATTTTTTGATTTAATTCCAATTAATTATTTACATAAAGATTTTATTTTCTAATAAAAATTGCCAAATTTTATTTATTTATTGTCATTTGTTAATTGTGCGTACGATGTGCGTGCGTGCGTGCGTACGTGCGTTTGTAAATAATACGTTAAAGTAAAAGTTCAAATTACGTTAAAGTAACGTTTAAAAAAAAACTAATAATAATAATAATTAAATATAATGTTTAATAACCGGTGAAAGGTTAAATAAATTTTGTTTTTTTTTTTTTTTTTGAATATTTAAAGAAAATTTGAAAAAGTGTGAAATAGTCATGACATTATAAATTTACTATTATTATTATCATCACCATTATTATTATTATTATTAGTCACGTTAATTTTATTTAAAAAAAAAAAAATAACATTGATATCGGTTACGATGTTTTAACGTTATTATTCGACGACCTGTTAAATATCTTTTTCTTTATTTGTTTTTTTTTTTTATACGTCGTCTGATTGAAATGAGTAACGGTTATTTTGTTTCGTGTATTTCAATAATAATAATAATGACGATGATGATGGTAAACGTTTGTTTTATGAAATTATTCGGGGGGACGAAACTTGAAAAGTTTATCAAAAAAAAAAATTATTATTTTTTTGACATTGTTTAATTTTTTAAAACGTTTTTCATTACTGCATAATAATAATAATAATAATAACTGTCGCGAATATGGAATGGATGGATTACCCAAGGAGTGGTACAACCACATTTTAACCCCGGATACGACAGCAGATTCATGCACAGTTCTGTATGATCAACAAATCCACACACTGACAGAACTGTGCCAGCGAACAAGCCGGATATCATCCTCAGGCATAATGCGAAAAAATGGTATAAACTGATTGAAGTATTCGTGTACAGGCGGGGAGAAAACACCAGATAGCCAAAGAAGCGGGCAAAAAGCTGAAATAGCCAGGCTGTGGGAGAAAAACGAAAACAGAAAGTATTCCGATCATCGTGGGAGCAGCACTGGGAGCCATGCCACCACATTCAATAAAAGGAAATTTAAAGAAGATTTTGAAGAATTTAAAAGAAGAAACCGTAAAGGCAATGGCGTTATGTGGGACGGCCCACATTCTTCGGAAAATATTATAAATAGCACCAAAGAAATTCGAGCATTTACTCTTTAGGTATCGGGTAGAAACCTGAAATAAATAAACTTAAAAACTCCGACAAGTATTTAAAAGCTTGGCGTGTTTAAAGATTATAATAATAGTAATAATAATAATAATAATAATAATAATAATAATCATAATAATAATGATAAAATCGTGAAAAGTCCTTGCGATTGATTGCAATTAAAAAAAAAAAAATTTTTTTTTCTCACCACCCGTGTAAATCGATGATGATCTTCGGCCCGTCAGAGTTTTTTGCTGCCCTCGCATTTAAAT